TGGAAGCAGTGCGCAGAAGAGCAGTGGGTCACTGCCAACCGTCATCCAACCCTTTGTGAAACAGACGGAGCACAGAGAGCTAAAGGAGATGAAAAAATATGAGATGTTAAAGAATATGAACCAACAACAGCAATTATTCTATATTTAAATTAAAAAAATATCCGGGAACTTTTGAGGGTCTCTGAATTTTGTTTGGCATCACCTACGTGTAGCGTCCTTTAATTACCCTGAAGAGGGTGCTATAAATGTCCTGTTCCATAACCTGAATGTAAGGAAATGAAAGTGAAATATATATTATCTGAGTCTGGTTGGAAGAAGCTTAAACTGAAACACAGTTTAGTTTAATGACTGAATGATTTACAAGTACAGGAAAAGAAAAATGTAGCAAGTGAGAATAAGATAGAGAGGGAGAATGAGAGAGAGACTGGCTATTAGTCAGAAATGGACAAAAATAAAAAACAGAAAACAGACGAAGTATGAATCCTGTGAATTTCACACTTGCTCAAACCAAAAAATTGGCAAAACAAGCCTCACAATATCGCAGTCTGGTGAGAAGTAAACAGACAGAAAGTCAAGAAGGAAGGATCAGGGCAGAGATGAGTAGAGAGGAATTATCAGGGAGAAGGGAAAAAGGAGAAAAACAAACAGAGATAGGATACAGAAAAAACAGTGGGGGAGGAAGTGTGAAGAGAGCGGGGACACTTCACATTCAGTTGGAAGAAGGAGATGAGGAACAGGGTGAAACGCAAAAATGTAAACAAAACATGACCGAGAGACAATTATAGAGTGTGAATTAACTGTCTGCAGAAATCACTCGGTCTCTTTCCTTTGTTCTTTAAGTACGACCAGTGAAGGTTAAAGGTGTGTTACTGTGTTTTTTAAAAGGAAACATGGTTGTTGTTAACAGCCTTGTCTCAGAGCTGTGGTCAAAAAACATGGACATTCCCCTCAGGTGAAACAGACGCACAGGGTTTTTTTTTTCACTGCTTAAGGATCTAATGTTTTTTTTTTTATTATTAAATTAAACTAAATTAAATAAAGGTCCATGAAATTTTGCATATGTGGAATTTTGAAAAGCACCAACAGATGTGTTCTGTGGCCAATGAGACCATAAGTAATGTAATTTTGTAGAATTGTAAAAGTGCCCCAGGAGTTCAGCTCACAGAGTTTGGAAGTGCATATGTTTTATTGTGTTGGGGCAGCCATTAGCTCTCCTGCCTGCACAGATGGCTGCACAAAAACACAGCAGTTAGGATGGTTTGCATGTAACACAAATATTCTGCCACAAACTCTTGGCTCATTTTCAAACACTTAGGCGAACATAATTACTGCTAGGTCTTTATTCTGTGTTCTTCCATAAACTACAAAAACGTAAACCACATGTGACATGCTGTTTCATTGATATAAACACACACACAAATGTGTGTGTCCCTGTCCCAGGTTTTTTAACCAGGGACAGGGACATTTACTAGCGTCGTTCAAACCATTACTGTATACTTGTTCGATTTATAATCTACATAGATTATATGTCGTTTTATAATCTACGTAGATTATAAAACGAACAAGTATACAGTAATGGTAATAAAGAAGAATGAACACAGTCACTTACTAAAAGGTTCTGTTCATTATTAGTGTGTTATTAAAATATATAATCACTAGCTTACCTTAGAGTTCACTTATTTAACAATCTCAGTCTTGTGCAAAAAAGTGTTTCTTAAATCTCAGAGATTTCTTCTTCTTCCTTACATGGTAATTTGAGCTAATATACTAAGTAAAATTTAAACCTTTGAGCTAATATTTTTGTCATATTGGTAGAAGCAGAAGTTGAGCAACAATTCTTGTCAAACATAATGTAGAGAATTTGTTTCTTAATTAACCTCGATGACAACATTTTCTCTATAGGATGGTCCCAAAGATGTAAAGATACGATTGTTTTGGTATTTGACTTCTATATTTTTCTTTATGTATCAGATAGATAATGTGTCTTCTACACAAACGGAAGGTTTGTGGGAATGCTGTTAACCAGGTCATTCGTGTTCATCTAATTTGCATATAAAATCCATTACTGTGTAGAATGTTTGGTTTATCTAAAAAACTGTTGCCCACTACCCGTAGGGTGTCAACAGGGGGCGCCAAACAGTAATTATTAGTCCAAAATGGAACAGTCGGTTTTGCCACCCTTAATTTGTTGTGTCTTCTACACCTGGAAAACGTTTTTTTTTTTTCATGTCTGCTGCTTTAATATACAAGATTATATTAATTACTTTGTATACCATTAAATAACTGTGCTGATTTTTCAAAAGCTTTTTTTTCTTTTTTTGACCTTCAATGGACCTTGAAATATAACTTTCAGCACAGACTATAACACATCTGTAATTTAATTTTTATGTGGATGACAAATATTGTATTACTATAATCATTTTATTACTTTGTCCTCTGAATGTGAATCATGTAATAAACTATATGAGATTCATTAGTGAAACCCTGATAAATACTACTATTACTACTTATTTAGATGGTAAGAGATCTTAGTAGTGTAGTGACACTTGAAGAAGTGGGGTCCTGAAGATGAGCATGGCACTAATGAGGAATTGTTCTTCTTTCTGACAAATATTTACATGATGACAAACCAATGTGATTGTCTTAATGCAGTGGGCTCTGTGTCCTGTTTTAATGACCGACAAACAGCATTCAATTTAAAAACACCAAAGTCTTGAAATGGTCAAAACAAAGGCCTATCTCTGACTTTTAGCCCAACCACTGATCTTACTTATGTTTCTACTGTGTATATTTCGTTACACAAAGGTCTAACAAACAACTGGATTCTCCATGCTGTACTCACAGGGTGGAGCGCAGGTGTGAAATTTAATAAGTCCGTTACAAATACTTTGACTGATACAGTTTTTGTGTGCAGACAACTGGTGATGAACAAAATGATTTAAAATTTTTTTTTAGAAACATACCATGCACAATTAATACAACATTTAGAAAAAATGGGTAGCTACTTGTGAAATTATGAAATAGGATGTTTGTTCTTTTTATTTATTTATTTACTTGTGTATTTGCTGCAATGCAAGTCTGTTGCTCACGTAAGCACGGGCAGCACTGAATCATGGGATCACTTGCAAGTTGAATGTGGAACGAGCAGGGGAATTCGAATGTTGGTCATCATGGTGGTACTCAGAGAGCTCAATGTTTTCTCAGGTGGTAGAGAGTATAAAAGGTTTGAAAACCACTGATCTAGCCAGTAGATAGCTAAGATAGTTAAAGATAGCATTGGAAGCGATGTTATAAGTTAAAAGTACTAAAAAAAAGACAATCGATAATTATCAGCTGTTATTGGTACCTTTGACACATCCTCCACAGGGACAAAAGGACAAATGACGAAACTTAAAGTACATTTTAAGGAAAAGTCTTGGATCACAAAAAAACAAACAAAAAAACCTCAACAAAAACAAAACATTATCCTCATACAAAAAATGGCTCCATGACCAGTTATTGGACACACCAGCTTAATGAGTGTCTTGTCTCCATTCAAAATTCAATGGAAACAGCCTCAGACTTTAAGTGTTTTAGTATCCAGCTCTTTCTCCTCCAACAGCCGGAAATCTTTTCCATCCTCCCCTGAGCAGGTCAGATTCTTATCTCAGCTGAGGCAGGATTTGATTTCAGTCTAACGAGGGGATTCCTGTCTCAATGTGTGAGTCCTGTATGTTTCCTCTGAAGTGGGAAAACCTGTATATTGTAGCCGTAAATCTGTGGGACGTGCAGAGCCAGCTGTCCACTCCCTGCTGCGTGCTGCAGTTAGCATGTGTTGCACGCCTTCAAAGTTTGACAAGGCAGCACACACACACTGCCCACACATTCTCCCTGTCTGACGACCGCGCATTACCATCAGCCATGTGTCACTTCACCTGTCAGACAGTTTGTTGGACATTTAACGGCCTGAGTGTTCTGTTAGTTCTAATCCTTATGTCGCACTTCACATAAACTACGGGACTCAGGATTTGTACGTGGTGTACATTATATTTTTGGTTGAACATTCTCATATATTTTTAATTATATCGTTAATATTTTTAAACATGCTTTAATAAAATCAAGAATTTGTTATAAAACCTTAATTCTATTGTTGTTAACTTTCATTACAAGCAAAATTGCTGCAATGTGACTTTAAAGCAACAAATCCTTGGCAGATACTTCTG